CTTCCGACGAATGCATACACAAATGGATTGATGCACGAGTTAAGATACGATAAGCATAACGCGACGACGTTGAGACGCATGCTCAATTGCGGATCGTAGGCTTCTGGCGCTACAAACGCGTGGTAAAGTGCAATGGCGTGAACGGGGCCCCAACACAATACGAATAACACCACCACAATTATGACCATGAGTGTAATACGCAATTTCTTCTCCGTCGAGTCTTCGCTTTCGATGGTGGTAACCCGACGTGTGGTTCCCTTGCCGCATTCCGGAGTGTATACGCGTTTGTTGGTAGTTCGAGATTTCTGCAGCTTAGCCGGCAATTTCATACTGCAAATTCTGTGAACTATACTTGCTGTAGATATGATAATCAATGTTACCGGTATGATATACATAACCAATACACTGTACACGTCATATATCTTTGACAGAAAGGGTTTGAAGATCAACGACGATACACATACTGGAGTTAAGTAGTAAGGGTCGATTAGAACTTCTGTGTACACAGCTATTGGTATGTGCATCACGAACGAAGCTGAAATAAGAAAAAAATAACAACATCCATAATAAAGCTAACTTGTATGGAAACAGACTGAAGGAGTAGTATTATTGATTTCATTCAAATCTTGTTTCCTTTTTAGTATAAACTGCGTGTATTCGGATATTCACTTATTTTTGTTGAAAATCGTATGTACAAGATTAACTAAATTTTGAATAAACAGCTCGTTTTGTAAACTATGTTATTGTAATGTACAAATGTTGTCATGATTTCAGTATTAAACTACACAGTTAGATACAATATGAGTGGTACAACGTGTTTGTCATAAAAAAAGATATCTGTGTTTAATTCCGAGCTGACATTTTTCTTCTACCAAGCAGGCGATAGGCTTGACGTTATTTCGTGATAACAAATTTTGATTCATGTTGATTCTTCATAATCAGAGCTTTTGCACGGTAATAAACAACAACAAAATTATAATCGGAATGGATAAATAGAGGAAAAAAAGCGCTGCAGTGGCGTCAAAACATCACGTGAATTTACGATCTCAATAAAGTTCTTTACATGTTTGACGATAAACAATTTTAATGTTGATTGGTGCTTCGATATTGAACTAAATAAAAAAAGAAATTATTTTTTGGCGGTAGACTGTCGATCAGCATTCTTCGCAATTTACGCGAGACTACACAGTTAACAAGAAGTTGTCTATTAACATGATGGCTCTGGGTAAAAATACGTACCTAACCAAATGCATCCAATGTTTGTTACTACAGATCTCTTAGTCCTTCTTGCCCTCGACCTCAACGGATTGGAGATGACAAAATAGCGATCAAGAGTCATGATCACCAGTGTCCCACACGCGGCTTGCACGGCAACCTGAAATTAATATTTAAAAAGTAAGTTCCAAAATAATAGACATTCGTATTTAATTATTGTATACCTAAGACTCAATTGGTCTGTTTGAACAGTTCTAAAGTATTTTAGACTATTAAATTGTGACTGTGTACACTAATTTACACTCTACTATAGAGACAAAATATCGTATCCGTTGCACACGGGATGGCTGGAATGTTTTACAGCGCATTGATCCCATGAAGCCGTATGAGTATATCACTTAAATTGCGTTCAAAGTTAGCCCAAAATAATAACACGGGTGTGTGTTTTATAACCAACATACCAATGTTGTTTGTAACGTCCAGTCTAAGAGCGCAGAAGCAGAAGTAATCAGCACAGTAAATGTGTTTAGTTATTTACTACCATACAACCTTTATTGCAAAGAATGCGTCACATTTGTGTGCGGATTGTGCATGTTTTTATTAATAGTTTTGTCTTAACAAGATGCGTGGGCTAGAAATGCGACAGGTGGATCTTATTCATGATTTAAATCTTATAATATTTTGTAAAATTGAGGTAGTTCTAGTGACTGAGTGTGTACACAAAGGCATGTTCTAATGTTCTAGTTCGAGCTCAGTTGTGGCATTACTAATCTTAGTATTTAATCAGAAATATATACATAAAAAACCTCGAGCTGCATATCATTTATACTTCTCAGACATGATATAAATTGACAATATTTATGATCAAAATGTCACAAATTAGACTTGGTAAATGTCCATTTATAATTTACACAAAGATGATTATTCGGTTTTAAACATTGATATGAACTTGTATACTTAGCAAGTGAAAACAGAAACTCCCATAAAATGACACAATTTCCACTTATAGCTCACAAACATATATAGATTTCCAAATTCATATGATATTTTACGAATATTCAAAAAAATGTTTGGATGCGATTCCTAAGAATTCAAATACAACCAGTCAAAACACGATTTGTGATTTGTCGCCAGCCTACTGCAACTATTTGTTGTCTTTAAAAACTATTAATCAGTTTAAGCTGTTTTGTTGGAGATGCCGAAACATTTTATAGGAGAATCACTGAAAAATCAAAAAAACTCATATGACCCGTGGCTAAGTAGCTGTGTGCACTAATCTGATCTGTCATCATCGAATCGTGCACTAACTCGACGTCTCTCGTCTAGTCAGCCACTTGAAATCAAAACTGTGGTTCAGTAGCATGTATGTGTACATTATGGTATTTATTTCATGTCAGTCTACTGAAATTTGGAAAATTGGAATCATCATCGTTGGTTTCCCTAAATAGTGTCAATCACAATAAAGGAGTACACATTTGTTATTTTATTTTTTATGTGGTTTTCGGCGCTGAAATTATAAATAGCATTTAAACACAATTAAGTACGTTGTCGGCCACGGTACTTACAATTAATCTGACAAGCATGCGAATTGACATTACATTTTATTTTTTACTCAACTAAGGAATATGAATACATGTAAATACCATACAAAATAATTTCCAAATCTCAAGTTATTATGAATAAAAGATATTTTTTTTCTTACGTGGGTCTGACTCCGAAGCACAAATATTTTTTAATTATTATTATTAGTATTTTATTTCATATCGCCCCTCTTCATGTTTTAGCAGTACATACACAATAGTGTTCAAGTGGCAGAAACTACCGAGGGTACTGAAATAGCAAACGATTCATGACATCAGAAAATGTAATGGATAAAACAATTTCATGACCTAAAAGCATAAACTAGTGTGTTGAAAGCTTTTTCATGTCACGAATGTTTTCGAACGTGTACTGGGGATGTCTGTGGAGCTTTATATATCAGATGTTAATGATTATATAAGTGGAGATAAGTTAAAAGACGCCTCAAGCAACTGTTTCAATAGTTTAGAAAAAAAAGGAACGGACCAAGAACTAGCGTAGTAACATTTGTGTTATATCGAGCGCTAGCGAAAATTGAACCTCTCAATACTTGTAGGTTACAAGTGATATATTGTGTGATAGATTGCTTGCTAAAAGTGTTAGATATATTTTGATTCTGGCAATTTTACTACAAAAAAGTGAGATTAACGTATACAGTAGTATCGTTTACAATTGGTCGGTGTATCTTAAATGGCGTAACATATTGAAGAAAAAAACAAAATAAAGGGAACAAGTGGCCAGGCGCATGGCTAATCGAATAAGACTTTATATTATCGTTCCGTTTATTTGTTAAGCATCTGCATGTCCCTGAATTTCGAAACTTGCTTGGTGAAAGTAATACAAGTAGTGTTACTCTGTCTTTGAAATAATGTGTAAACAATATACGGCACTAATTGAAAATGAAATTTATTAATATTTTTTAGTCCTCAATACATCGTTATTAACTGTGTGTGATTTCATTAATAAAGGATACGATAAGGTGTAGTAGCATGGGATAACTATTCACTGTATTACAAAAAATATGTCAATTACCATGACAATAATATTCAGGACATATCATTGTGTTATGTTGTTCAATTCAAAGAAATAAAATAATAATGCATCTACATTTAGTAATTAGTTAGTTAGTAATTTGTCAAGAATAACCAAAATGAAACTTGACCGTGTGTCGATATCTTTCTTAATAATTCGGCGATTTCAAGTAGTACTCTTCTAATATTCTTAGAGTTTTTTGCTTTTATTATAGCCGGATGGGGATTTCGAAATTATAGTAATTTCTGGTAGATAATAAAAATATAATATACATAAATTGCATATATGTTGAGTTATATATCATACGATTTTAAATGATGACATGTTCCATTAATCTTTCAACGAATTAATGTTGGACATTATTTACAAGTCTTGAATTTAGGTGTACTTGTCCGTTCGTGATTAACTATTATTTATTTATACTGCACAGCGTGTAGAGCGACAACGTTTCAATACCCCATAGTCATGGCACCAGTGACACTCGGTGTTTGAAATACGGGTAGCGAACGACTTTAATGGGAGTATTTGATCTGACTTATAATTATACGCCATCTTAATGGGTCACGGTACTTAATATAACATACGAAACGTTGTCGTGAAAATGAAGACACTTAAATGCCAACAATGTTTAAATGTGCAAATTTCTCAGAAAATGAGTATTAAGATATTGAGGAATTTAGGGAACAGAAATGACTAGCAGTTGCGTTTTGCAAATGTCGCCATGGCTCGACCATGAAAAGAGTTGTTATAGAGTAGAGTTATAGACTTTCAAATAAAAAAAGAAAGGAAAACGAAAGTCTATATAAAATTGCCCACTGTGACATTTAAACAGAATTTTTCTCTATAATAAATTCCAAAAATATGCACATACGCACGACTAATGTTCTTCCTAAAATGTGCAATACATAAACAAACTTCAATAACGGAATGCATTGACGGTAGCTGAAAATGCGCTTCTTTGTGTTAACTTCGCTTCTAACAATATTGCGTTTGAAACTATAGCGCGATCGTTGATTCTTATCCATTGGCTCTCATTCGCGACGTAGTCATCTCCAAGTGTTGACATTTTCATGTGCGCGTTGTAACAAGATTAGTAGTGATTCGTCCTTCTTTCCAATATGTAAAAACTCGCATGTAAGCCCATTCAAGCTGCTGAAACGCATTTCAATCAGTATATTTTTTACAGCGACGCAAAACAAAACCGTACCAATATGTACATCATCGAATGCAATTATCGCCGGTGTATATGTACAGGGGTATCAAACTTTGAGTGTGGGTTATGTCTTCAAGTAAAAACTTTGCACCTGCCGATGTTTCTTCAAAGCATTGATGCAATGATAAGTGTAATGTATTTGACAAGATATATATATATTAAATCTTCTACATATATGAAACATGATATTGTGTTACACGCTAATAAATAAATTACTCGATTAATTACCAGATGTGCTGAAATGACTATCACATTTACATTATTTACGAGGCCCCGGATACTGCTAACTGCTATTTAAATTCAGTATTCAACACGCAGCCTGTAGTAACCGTTGATCACACCGAACCGCACTAAACACTGTTTGGAAACTCGATACGTTTATCGCGTGTAACATTATTGATTTTTTTCTAGAATGCACATGAAACACATAAACACATGAGGAAGGGCGTGATCAATGGTTTGCTAAGAATCGCAAAACTACATGCAATTAAATACTAAACATTTCCTGCGCCATGGAAATCACACATGTGAAATTGAAAGGGAGAATTCATCTTCCGACGACAATTTTAATGTTATTCTTTACATTATATTTTATGAGAAATAATCTTAGCAAATGTAACGAAACGTTATTGATACGTAATACATTTGTATTATAAATAACTAGTCACAATAAATATAATTGTGAAAAATATTAACATGTATGATAATCTTACTGGTAATACATGCTACCAACGCCTGATTATGTGTCCATCGCGGCAATCCATTACTTGGAACATTGTGTGTGTAAATCTTCCAGTAAACGTATGAAAACGAAGTGAAATCGGGAAAGATAAACTTATATGTTTTCAGGAACAGGTATTACTTACGCTTTGTATGTATACTGTAAAACGGCACATGAATTCGCCGAAATGCCAAACTCCTCCATTAGCCAGTTGAGAAGCTGCCGGTATAGCACACACTAATAAGAAGCATATGTCTGCCTTAGCAAGATTCATAATATACATATTAGTAACTGTGTGCATGTCACGACGTCTAAGTACGATGTACACTACCAGTGAGTTCCCAACAATTCCGATGACTGCCAGAACGCCGATGAAAGTTGCTGCCAACACATTCCGCCTGTCCCATATTGGTGATGTGTAATTCATCATAAATAAGTCAGAACTATTGTAGATAAACCCATCTGCCGGATCATAAACTGAAGCCATCGTTTCAATGGTTGTAGTCACTTTAATACCGCTTATAAGCTGTGCATCGTTAACATAAGTGCTTACGTCCGAGTAGCGGGTCGTTTTGTATACGTCGGCGGTTCGACGGTTGTATAAATGAAATGACGTGGGCAAATGCCAATATGTATAATCAGGGATGATCACTAGGTGCAAATTCACATGTTGCATTTCGCATATAAATTTCATCAGCACTACTCAGTAATCTATCAGATTTACACGCAAACGAATACTTCTCAATGCGAACGTTGAGTGTGCTACTCAAACAGGAATACATTTAGTTTGTTTGTACGATGAAATAATAAACCGGGAATAACAGCATTTCAAACTGATACATATACCCGGATACTGAGCTGGTTCCTACACTGGCCCGTCTGTGGTAACTACGTAATACAGTTTAGGGTACTGATATTATAAATGGCCACAGTAGCGATGCGATGCTTGTCAAAATGCATATCAGCGATGATGCAGAATATATGATAGTAAATATGAACGATACGAATTACGCATTATAATCATCCTAAATACTAATAATATCAAATTATCGTCGCACGCGTGTATTATTTCATGCCGCACTTCTTTGGTGAAAACACAGAAAACAGAATTGAAATTTATACAAAGTACATCAGTAACAATTTAACTGTAGAAGGAAAAAGTACAAATATATGATATGTATACGTATTAGTAGCATTTAAAATTAATTAAAATAATATTGCGAATATATATATATATATATATATATATATATATCTATATA